CGCTCCAGAGCTGTGCTCCGGCACAAGTCTGCATCTGGCACGAATTCTCATGGGAGCCACGTCACGAGGTACGTGGTTGCACACCTATCACAAGAAGTCTTGCAGCACTGACTTTCCTGAGCTCAGTGGGAAAGTCTGGACAGTCCCTCCCGCTCCTGCCACGAGAGCAGCCCTCACATTCACACGTTCCCAAAGCAGGTCTATTGAGCTTCTTCTCAGAGCGAGCCTTTGTCAAACACACCTGGAGGGGACCTCGTCTCTCCCAGCAACTCAAATCAGTGCCTTCGTTGTAATGCTCCAAACCAATCCTGAGATGCTGCTGGGTTTATGGGCTGGTTTTTGTTGAACCTCCCTCCTCCCCAAAACTGCCACGGCATTCGCCATTGAAACTGGAATTCAAGGGCCAAATTCAAGCCCAGAGTGAGCAGTAGAACTTGGACCTCAAAACAGAGTTGCACCTGCTGACCCCCAGCCTGAATTTGGTTCATCCAGAGTCTACAAGTCAGAAAGGCATGTTTAGAAAGAGGCATGCTAAGGGCTGATGGTGGAACAACCAATTTGTCCCCACCAGCGTGGTGGGGAAGGCTGGGCTGAGAAGGAAGAGAAGGATCCATAGAGACGTGAACCAGAATCAGTTGTGTTGAGCCCTGGGGATATCACTACATGTTTAGCTCTTGCAAGACGATTTGCCCAGGGCTTTGGTACCACAGGGTTAGAGTTACATTAACCACAACCACCAGAGAGGAATTGAGGTTTATGACCCCCTCCAAGGTTAGATTTCTGCCGAGTATAAAGGGGAGGGGAAGGAAGGGGGGGTCCTTGGTTCTTTTCCCTTCACTGTGTGACCGAAGGTTTTGCTTTTATTTGTAAACATCTTGAATTACCCGTCGTTTTCCAGTCTTCATCGCGCTGTTGTCAGGCCGCTGGAGAGCACAGCGTTTTCTGAGCTGGGCTGGGACTGCTCCTTCACCACTGGATCTGCAGGAGACACAGGCCAGGCAGGAAGGGGAAAGCATTTAACAAAGCGGAAGCACCACCCTGGCAAACCCTTCCAGAGAAACTGCCCTCAAAACCCACAGAGCTGCTAAGGCTTTCACAGAGCAGGGAGCTGAAATTTGCACCCCCCACCCAAGACTGCCCTCCATCCCAGCTAGCTGCAGCTTCTCCAGACTCACAGAAATAGGGGTGCTCCATTGCCTCCTTGGCGGTCAGCCTCTGTTGATGGTCATATCGCAGGAGTTTGTCCAGGAGGTCTAGGACTTCAGGACTGACCAGGTGTCTGTTCTCACTGTGGATGAAGTTCTCCCAGCGCTTCCGGGAATGCCTGCAAAACGGACCAGCTGTCACTGCCCAGCTCTGACCAGCACAGCAGTACCCAGAGGTCCCAGGTGCATCACCTGCCACTATCCACTTCTGAGAAGAGATGGCTGCGACGGAAGCTGCCTACAGCTCTTCCTTGAAAAAGCTACTGCTCAGCAAGTGCTTGTCGAAGGGGGAAACCCCTCTTCTTTAGGTACACAGTTGTGCACGTCCTGCACCTGGGAAAGGCACAACATGGCACATTCCCTTCTGTCTACGGGGACTAAACAGTGTGCAGCAGGCAGAGTGACACCCTTGGGACCAGAAGTGCAGGGGCTTGCCAGCCTCACAGAAGCTGTCCTCACTATCCCATCTACCTCTCATCCTTTTCAGAAATCTCAGCTGGCAGATTTTGAGCCCCTCAGCCCACACTCAACTCCAGTGTCTACATCTCCACTTCTAGGATGTCAGCAAGCAGGAGAAGGAAGAAATGGGGGATGGCTCGTGGATCATGGGAGAGGCAAATGGAAAGAGCCTGCACTTCAGTGACCTCCTGAGATGACAAGAGCAGCCAGATGGGAGGCCTGCAAACAGCATTGTGACCCAGATCAAAGCAGGCCTTTGCTGAGAGTCCTTCACGGCGACGGACATCAGTTTGTCTCCCTCTCTGTGTTACAAGGAAAAAAGGCTGCGTTTCACTTCTCCACTTACTGGCCCAGGATATCATTGAAGTGCGGGTCCAGTTCTATGTGGTACTTCTTGAGATACCCATACAGCTCGTCTGTGCCCAGGACCTTTGCGATGCGAACCAGCTGGAACAAAAGGCATGTTGAGACAGAGCAGAAGGACAGGCCACCACTCTTTCACATAGGCAGAGCTGCCCAAATCTAAAAGCTCTCCTTCTGGAAACATCCCAGATGGAAGATGTTATCTCCCTTGAAACTTGTTTTTGCAACATGTGCAGAAAACAAGTCTCCTACACAAGGCAGTGAAGCATAATCCCAGATGGCTTAACTAAGCAAGTAGCAACATCCTCCCAGCCTGGTGATCCAATCCCCAGAACCTCCCCACTATACACACAGAGACGAGGCGGTGACAAACGTCTCAAGAAATAATCCAGGTAGCAAAGTCTTTACTTGGTCATAATTGTCCTGGCCGTGGAAGAAAGGCTCCTTTCGGAAGATCATGCTTGCCAGCATACAGCCTAAACTCCACATGTCTAAGCTGTAGTCATACATCTGAGGGCAAAAAGGAGAAGCTGTCAGAAAAGGGATGCTCACCATGGCCCAGTTCCCCAGCTGCACAGGCAACCTGAGCCTTTTCACTTCACAGCCAGCCTCTTTCCAACCCAGGCAATGCCAATGCCCTGGCAGGCAAAACCAGACAAACCAAAAGTGGCCAAAGTGCAACCACAAGTGGTATCACTGGCTAGCAAGGAGGAGGCAGACTCTTACTTGGTAGTCCACAAGGAGCTCCGGTCCTTTGAAGTACCTAGAGGCCACACGGACATTGTATTCCTGAGCTGGATGGTAGAATTCGGCCAGACCCCAGTCTATGAGCCGCAGCTGAACACGTGATAAAGAGACACAGAGTCAGGCATGAGCCAGACAGGTGAAGCCACATTGGCCAAACCTCGCAATCCTGCGATGCAAACGCGGAGCCCAGGGTGCAGGGAGGTGCTCCGAGGACAGGAGATGACCTCAGCAGTGCTCTGGTCAGGCTCTTCCCTTCCGCCATCACCAGGTGGTGGGGCAAAGCCCAGCTTAGAGAGCTGTTACAGCACACTGTTACTGCTGGGCAACTGGCTTCCTACCAGCACCACCAGCCACAGCGGACAGGGTGTCGCATACTAGGGAACAGGCAAAAGCCACCTGTCTTGTCCCACTGTTTAGAAGGGCTGGTCCAAAGGCAGTGTTGAATTTAACTGGGGGCTGAGAGCAGGAAACGAGGTAGGAGGGGGGCCCACCACATCCTGCAAGGCAGAGCATCGACTTTGCAGCCGCAAGGATGGACGACTTGCCATGTTACTGAAGGGCAGCGGATCTAGTAAAGGATTTCCCACTCCTCAGGAACCTCACCTTGCCTGCACAGCCACTGCGCATTGACAGGGAGGGAGCTGTGGACCAGCAACTAATTAGCTGCTGCGAATCCCAGGTCCCTGGGAACACGGGTACACACAGCACCTGACGAGGTACGAGTACCATGATGGTGTGGGGAACCTCCCTGTGCTGCCCATTCCCACGGCAGTGAGCTGGGTACAAACGTTTCCTGTGATCTAAGTAGCACAGCCCAGGAGTGAGGAAGCCACTGCGGGACACGGAGGCTGTACTACAGGAGGAGCTTAAGTTCCCTAGGTAAAAATATTCATGTGTGTTTCAGACAAGGCCACTCTTCTTCAGGCCAGGGCCTCTGCGCCCTACTGCTGCACCTCCCCAGGAGGAGATTAACAGCCCAGACCTGCCCCTCTCAGCAAAGAAACCCAGCGTAGTTGGCTGGGGGGAAGAGCAACCTCCAAGCCATGGACTCCCACTGTGGTGCTCCCCAGCGGGACTTTGGCCATCTCCTGATGCAGACACAAGTGGAGGAGAATGGTAAAGAAAGGTTAAAGGGGTAAGTACAGCTGCCCAGACTATGGGTACAGAGATGGCAGAGTTCCAAGTTTCCCTGGAAAAACCCTGCTGGTAAGCCCTGGCGCCACAGTACCTTCTTCTGTTGGTGGTCTATCATGACGTTGTGGGGTTTGACGTCCCTGTGCATGATCCCCATGCTGTGACAGTAATCCAGGGCCTGGCGGACACACGCACACACATTAGACACGTCTGTAACCACAGGCACAGTATTAACAACATAACAGTTCTCGGCCAGCAGCAAGAGTGCCCGGTCCACGAGGAAGTGCTGCAATCCTGGCACCAGAAACTGCCATTTTCAGCTCTTACGCTGCACGTGATGAAGCGACAAGCTGGCAATGAGACTGTATTGATCTTATGTGCTCCTGCAGCCACGGGCCCTTGAACCTTGTTCCCTGCACAGTCCTTGAAGAACACTATGCAGAGAGGCGCCCCCCCACCTGGTGACGAGCCCAATGCTCCCACCGAGGCAGCCCTGCGCTTCCCAGGTCACGCTCTCTTTCCCAGAGGGGATGATTCTTACATGCAGACAGTTTTACAGCCTTCCAGGGCAGCTTTCCACTTGTGGTCCAAAACGCCTGAGCTGGAACGTCCCTTCTGCCCTGCTCGTTTAAGGCAAACCTGCTGCTACAGAAGGCAGGTGGCAGCACACAAGGGAGGGCGACGCTGCGCAGCGCGAAGGCAGGAGCACACATAAGCTCTCCAGCTCTGTGACCTTGCACCACTTGCCCCCCCGCCCCCACAGCTGTTCCCTTGAGCAAGGGGGTGAGAATGTTGTTTTCTCATCTCCAAGGGGCAGGGAGATCCATCCGTCAACATCTCTCAGATGCTCTGAGATCTCCAGCAGCACGGAAGGAGGGTATAGTCTGCAGTCATTCAATATCCAAGACATCAGTGCCAGGGAAGTAACACTGTCCTTGGGCCCCTGCTGCAGCGGGAGGCATAGGAGGCAAGAGCTTCCATCACAGCAAGGCCTCAGGGAATGTCCTTGCAAGGACACATGGCCTCGCAACCAACAGGAGTCACAGCAAATGGTGGTCCTGGGATCTCCAGTACAGGAGATTTAGAACAGGTTGGACAAACTGCTTCCAGGGATGAAGCTGTTGTAGTATCTTGCTTGTCCCAAGGCAGGATCACCTAAGTCTTGTCATCACTCCCACCCTAATCTTGGGCTGCCTCAGGCTCCCTCCAGCCTTCAGTAGGAAGGCCTTTCCCTTGCAGACAGGTGCAGCAAGCTTTGGGGTGCAGAAAAGAAAGCCTCCCTCAAGCTCACCAGATCTATTTCAGGAAGTCTCCTGCAGTCACCAAGTCCTGGAGCACAAAGGGCTTTCTCTAGCCTGTCCCACTCATTTCCAGAGGCAGGGGACCTGCCAAGTGCCAGTCTAGAAGTCCCAAGGCCCTGCTAGGACCTGACACAGTCAAACTGCTGCTCCAGCAGGCCAGCACATAACAGCCCTGAGATCAGCCAAAACCTGTAAGCTCTCCCTAATGCCCTGCTGCCTCCCAGGTCCTGCAGCCAGAGACCCCAGAGAGGCAGCGCAGCAGATCTCACAGATCTGCCATACAGCTCCGTGAGCTTTTCCATGGGGAGGTGCAAGCTAGGCTACCTAAGAGGAGGTATTTAGGGCACTCCTCGCCTTTCATCAGAGGGGCAGGGGAAACTTTGGCTGGGAGGTCTCAAAGCGTAAGACCGGTGTTATATCAACATATGACAGTTGGCAAAACCAGAAGCTTTGTTCCCCAAGACCACATCCATGGGGTTCTGTGACCACAGGGCACTGAGCTGGCCAGCTTGTTCTTGAAGTGTCTTAGATCCCCCGCCCAGAGGCAGAGGGGTCTAAGACCAAGTGGGCAGAAGTCACCTTCTGGGGCTGCATTTGAATACTGCAGCAGAAGGAGCCTGGAGCTGGCAACCTCTCTCTTCTGCTCTCCCTAGCGTGCTAAAGAGTCCCCAGTTCCCCAGCCCTGCAAATGCCTCTTGGTGCTTGGGAGGGGAGTCTGTCTGGGAGGGAGTTGATTTTCCTTATCGCAGTCCAGTGGTGTTAGAGACACAGGGAGACCAAGCACAGCCCTACCTGGCGACTAACAATCACAAATGCTTCATGGAGCATCAGAGACCAAAGGTCCCCAGTTTGGCTGTAATACCTCACAGCAACAAGCCAGGTAACCAGATCTCTTCCCAAACCTTCCCGGGTTACGGGACACGGATTCTGCCTTGAACATGAGAGAAGCAACCACTGAGTAGCACCGCCCTGTGAGCCCTGCTACCGCCTCTCTCATTCCTGGTCTCCCCATCCAGACTGCCATATGCAATGCCACTCACCTTCAGCAGCTCATACATATAAAACCGAATATCAAAGTCTGTCAGGATCTGGTACAGTTGCTGAAACAGATTTGGGGAGGGAGGGAGATAAAAAAAAAAGAGAGAAACAAAAATAAATACTCCAGATTTGGATTAGTTTCATTTCCTGCACCCCACCTGCCTCCAATCACTGACCCCATTCCAGGTCCCCTGTGAACGCTGCCACTCCCGAGGGCTGTCCTGGTCTCAGACTTGCCAAGGATAGATTTTCTCTAGAAAATCCAGAAAGGATGCAAGAGCTCCCATGAAATACTCCTGCGATCATTCAGACTTGTCACAACTTCTTTCCAGCAAGAGACAGGCAGGCTGTCTGTCCAAGGAGAGGACAGCGAGCACTTCGGAGCATGCTAGAGTTGGCACAGATGATCCTGACTGTTCACATGCAAAATCGTCACAGTGACAACATGGGTAACAGCATTCAGAGCAGGCAGGCTGGGAACACATGGGCAAGGCTTCGAAGTGCTCAAGGTGGGGCAGGGAGAGGAAAACATTAACCTAAAGGGGCATGGGGTGAAGAAGCACAAAGGGTAGAGACAGTCTCAGCTGCGGAAGCTCCCCGCTATCCCAGGAAAAAGGCTAACGCAACTCAACAGCACAGAAACCTTTGTGGGGCCGAGGAGAGCGCAGCTCGGAGTCTCAGTTAAGTGCTTGTTGCCAGCACACGTCCACCACCCTCCTCTGCCCTGTGCTCTGCAGCTACTCATGTGAAACCGAGGGAGATCCAGGGTACACTTTAGCCTGCACCGTGCCACCAGCACTGGAGAACTTGTCATCCTGCGGCTCTCACGCCAGGTCACTGGCCCCAACTGGTCTTCTGCTCTGTATCTGTCACTGGGCTGTGCTTTCGTCCAGGGAAAGCAAGGTGAGACACCAGGACAGGGCAAGGAAGGACCTTCACAGGGCAGCAGTAGGACCAGACCCCTCTGCCCTTTCTACCAAACAAGGATCATCTCACAGCTCCATCAAATCACCGATTGCATCAGCACTGGAGTCAGCTGCCCATCACGGGCACCACTTGGCAGCTTCAGGAAAAATCCCAGAGCAAGGGATTGAAATTCACATTCCAAGAAAGCAGCTCTGGCCTCAGATTCCCTTCAGGCCCATGCCAAGGTCCTCAGGGCCAGCTCCAAACAGCCCCACTACCCCCAGTACTGCTCTGGGAAATCATTTAACAACATACGAGTGTCACTTACACACGCAGAGCTTTCAACGGCCTCCAGGACACAAGCTGCATTGTATTCTCATGAGCCGGGATGACCCTAATGCTTCGGAGCAACCCACTGAAGCGGACAAGTGAGCAGGGAGCAAAAAAGACACAGCCAGAAGCTACAGCAGGGATAGATTTCCTGCCTCAGTTGCACATTGCTCTCATGCACGACCCAGGGCCAGCAGAGGACAGCTGAGCCCTTCCAAGAGTTTGTTTAAATGGCTTGCCCAGGTAAGGAACACTGGGGAGGGGACAGAGATGCTCTTTCTGGGAAGCACTACCCTGTCCAACTTCACCTGGCAACATCGATGCACCTGAGCAAGAAGCGGCGCAGGAGAGGCAGAATAAGGCCAGACCCCGTTTTCCCTCTTCCCTGGCTCCTCTGCCTCTTGCTGCCTGTAAGCAGGGATGGGATGGAAGGGAGGTCACCGATGCCTTTCTTCTCAGGCCCACAATGCTGCTGCTTCTCCGGCTCATAGCCTTCAGCAGAGGCAGCCGTTGGGCAACCAGCTTTCAACAGACTTTCCTATAAGAGCTGCCTGTGAAACCTAGCACCTCTGACTAGAGCAGCTCTGGTGGAGTCTGCATCCTGAGGCAAGCTCACTACCCTGGATTTCAGGAGA